AAAGGGATCAATCCAACAAGAGGACATAACTCTAGTAAACATCTATGCACCTAACATAGGACCCCCTAATATATAAAACAGATTTTCACAGACATAAAGACAGAGATCAACAGTAACACTATTATAGAAGGGGACTTCAACACCCTGCTGTCACCAATGGACAGATCCTCCAGACAGAAAATCAACACGGAAACAGTGGCCTTAAATGACACTTTAGAACAGTTGGATTTAATCGATATTTTCAGAGCATTTCACCCCAAAGCTATGGAATATACATTCTTCTCAAATGCACATGGATCATTTTCTAAGATAGACCACATGTTAGGCCACAAAACAAGTCTCAATAAATTTAAGAAGACTGAAATCATATCAATCGTTTTCTCTGACCACAATGCTATAAAACTAGAAATCAATTACAAGAAGAAATCCAGAAAGCACACAAATGCATGGATGCCGAATAACATGCTACTAAATAGCAAGTGGGTCAAAAATGAGACCAAGGAGGAAATCAAAAGATATCTTGAGACAAATGAAAATGAAAACACCACAACCCAAAATCTCTGGGATGCAGTGAAAGCAGTCCTAAGAAGGAAGTTCATAGTAATGCAAGCTTACCTAAAGAAACAAGAAAAATCTCAAATCAACAGATTATCCTTACACCTCAGGGAGCTGAGAAAAGAACAGCAAAATAAGCCCAAAGGGAGCACAAGGAAGGAGATAATAAAGACCAGAGCGGAAATAAATGAAATAGAGACCAGAAAAACAATACAAAAGATCAACGAAACCAAGAGTCGGTTTTTTGAGAAGATAAACAAAATTGACAAGCCCCTAGCTAGACTCATCAAAAGAAAAAGAGAGAGTGCTCAAATTAGTAAAATCAGAAATGAAAGAGGTGAAGTAACAACAGACTTCACAGAAATACAAAAAAATCTTATTAAGAAATTACTATGAGCAATTATATGCCAACAAATTTGACAATCTAGAAGAAATGGATAATTTCCTAGAAGCATACAACCTTCCAAAGCTAACTCAAGAAAAATAAAAAATATGAATAGACTGATTACCACCAAATAAATTGAATCAGAAATCAACAAGCTCCCAACAAAAGCCCAGGACCAGATGGCTTCACAAGTGAATTTTACTAAACATTCAAAAAAGAATTATCACCTATTCTTCTCAAACTATTTCAAAAAATCCAGAAAGAGG